ACACACACACACACACACACACACACTACACACACAAATAAACACGCACTAACTATACATCTCACATCTATCACATGCATATTTCAGTCAGTAATAATTTAAATCGAATAAATATTATATTTGAAAACTAGAAAAACAAAATTAAATTAAATATATTTTGATTATTAAAAAATAACGAATATGGTGCTTAATAAAATAATATGTGCTCGATAAACAATGTTTTTTTCTATTCCTCTGAATGCTTTCATAACTTTCAAAATTTCATACGAATTCATCTGCATTACACCAAAGTTTAAAGCATAGCGATTGGAAAATGTGATCATAAAAGTTTGCTTGTGAGATAAAACTTTCTAGTGAAGACTCAGCGCAGTAATAATTTAATTTTAAATCCTTTCAGCAAACTTTTTTTTTATTTATTCAAATGTTCACTATTGACAAAAATGTCTACCTGTATAACGCTTTCTATATTTTACTGTTAGTGATCCCCTGGGTTTCGAAATATTTTAATAGTATTAACTAAAAAAAAAGAAAAATTTAATACGATTAAAACTCTGATTTACAACATATAGCTATCCAATTTTAAAACTAAATTGTGTTATGTTTACATATTACAGATAATATTACGGAATTGACAGCAATAAGTAATTAAAAGTATGGAAAACAAATATAAGAATTTTGTTCATTTTAAAATTAAACTAAACACTAGCTTTTAATTTTACCAAAATTTTATTAAAAAAAAAAATGAATGCAATACAAAATACAAAGTTATAAAAACCAATTCAAACAAAATATAATGGTTTATAAATATATATATATATATATTCTCAGCTTTGGCGGACATCAGGCAAACTAAATCTTCAGGGCATTTTTATTTTCCTTAAAGTTAGGTTCAATTTTAAAAGACAAATCTGTCATATTATACACAAAAATTAATAGTTAATTCATACACAATAATACAATGTTAATAAATGAATAAGTTATAAAAAGTGGTTGGGGCTCGTTACCTAAGCTACAGCCGGACCTCTCAAGATTTCCAATGTTTTTGTAAACAGTGGCACTTTAAAAATAGACTTAGAATTATGGCCTAAAAAATCGGTCTGAGTACGGCCCTGTCTGTACTTCTCAATTATAACTATTTATATGATTTCTGCTACTTACCCATAATGTTTATAGATTTTTTATTCATTAAATCTCTTTTCTATAAGATATATTTAATTTATTCGAAATTATTTAGAAAATAAATAATTTAATGGATTATATTCTAAATGTCTCAATATTTACCACAAATGTTATTGTATCACAATTATTCAATAAAGTGAGATCAAAAGTTTACGCTTTTACGATTTTTATTTCAAACTTCATGTGAATAAATGAATAAGTTTTTATAGAAACTGGGCGTTAAAAAACTACAAAAAACATAGATGGTGCCAAGTTTACTTTGTATTGTTCATGTATCGAAGGAGCTTTGATACGTGATCGGTTATTTTATACCTTTTTTAGTTCACATTCCACACATATAAACTTTGCTTTGTTTTCTGAATATAAATTGGAAATAAATTTTACTTGTTCATAATACATAATATTATGTAATTAAAAAACAATTGTTTTATGGAAAAAAAAAAAATGTGAATACCTAAATAATTTAAAAAAAAACTATTCAGAGTTTATTATTGAACTATAAATTAACGTAAATATCACAAATGTTCGTTATAAAGTTATAGACTAATAGAAGGTGTACAAAATAAATATTTTATTAAAAAATGTCTTGTCGCATCTATAAAATGTTCAAAGATATTTATAATTTAATTTACACTTCACAGAGTATAGGTAGTATTAAAAAAATATAAGAAAACAATATAATTATTTTTGCTTATAATTTTAGGTAAGATCACTGATTTTAATTTCAATACTAAGAAAGGTATAGGATTATTTTTAAAAACTGCCATTATATGTTAAATAAAAAGTTATAGTAGTTAAAACCACTTAAAATTTTAATATGAAGAAAAAGAAATAGAAAATTTGCTTAAAGATAAAATTAATTCTTCAACATTTCCCGTCTTGTCTAAACTTTAGTCATAGCTAGTAATAAACTGTAAGTTAAGTTTTAATGAAAACGTATAAAAAAAAAAAAAATTCAAATAGTGTTAAGAGTTATAAGTTATAACTTATGATCGAAAATAGCTTTAAGCTTAAAAATTTTAAAAATAAACTTAATGAATAACGCACTAAAAAGGTGGCTATAAATTATTAGGAATGCAAACTAGTAACTTGAGTGGCGACAGTGCAATTGTATGACTGGCTGATGCGACAGAAAATGTATTATATTATGTAAATATATGACTCACACGGAAGAATTTTTAAAAGTCTATTGCGTACTTTAACGTTCAAAGGTTTTTTCTTATAAAAATACTATACTTATAATGAGTAAAAATATGACCACTACTAACGTTATTTTTTTTTTTTTAAACTCTTCTAACATAAACTGATGCAATTTTCATCTGAAAGTATAAGAAAAATATAATTAAGAAAATTATGCTAGAGTTTTTTGTTGCATTATAGTCGAGCAAAAATTGACCCACAATTTTTTTCCTGTTATGAACCTTGCGAGGTCTTTGTTAATGAAATTCGTTCAGGAATTTCCATGCCACTAGGGAAATACGTTATGAAATAATAATGGTCGAGAAAACAGCTTTTTCCTGTAAACATTCCTTTCTCAAAACCGTCAGTTTTCTTATATTAAATTATAATGTAATTACATCGTCTTTTACCTTCTCAATGAAGTAAAATAAACCACAAGAATATGGTAATTATTTATTCACTAATTTTTTTTTTTTTTTAATTTAATGGTATTTTAAGCAGTTAAACAATTAGTTTTTTTTTTTATTTTAACATGTCGAATACAAATATCATTTAAATATTTCTATTTATTTTTAATATTACCCAATACATAGAAAATTAATTGCAGTTATTATTTTAGATCCTGAGCATAGCAAGGGATCCATAAAAAAATAACGATTTTTAAAATAATAAATTTTGTCTTTTTTTTGTAATTGAAAAACGAATAATCTAAGATTTTTCATACATGTATAATATACACATAATTTTCATAATATTTGGACTCTCTTTTGGTATTTATGAAAATTTGCAATTTTATAGAGTTTTAAGTACCATTGATAAAAAAATTTACAATTAATGTAATAAAATATCCTATATAGCTTGTTATATAAGTATAAAACAAACAATAACCAAGACTTTTTTGTAAATTTTTGAACTTCAAAATTTTACAAAAAAAAATATCAATATCACAAACATTTGAAAATTATTTTGCAGTTAAATAATTATTATTTGTTTAATTGTTACAGATGAAGCTTGAAAATGTAATAATAGATTTCCCATAAAGTCATGAGAAGTTTTTTTTTTTTTTTTTAATCTAAATATCTAAAAAAATATTTTGTCACAATTTAATATATATATATTAGTTGAAATTCTGATAAAATTGATGTATAATATTAATTAAAGAATAACGATTATAGTTATTTTGTTATTATTCAAACTTATTTTTAATGACTTGATATTTTTTTTAAATTATTATATTTTATTATATTCAATGAAATTTTCAAAATATTTTTATATATTTTAGGCCACTGCATACGACTAACTTATTTACATTATAATTGCTATTGATTCAAATAGATAGGTACTATTCAAATACCTTATAACACAATAAATATTATGTTTTCGGTGACAGTTGATTCGACCTACCACATTATTAATATGAAAATGTATAACTATAATAGGTTAAATTAAAATTAATTTATTAATTTAATTAAATTCATATTTAATAAATATATGACAGATAATTTCCTTCCGATACTCTCTGCTCGGAACCATTTTCCATTTTTTGCATGAAATGATTTATCATTAAATTCAAATTTAACACATATATTACAATAACCTACTCAATTATGAGGTATATTTGACACTTATTTTACAGAGACCGGTTAGCTACTTATCTAGTATTACACAAATAAATCTAATTACATAAAACTAAATATTTTATCTTTAACAAAAAAACAATTTTAATTTATTAAAGATGATATTAATTTATTTTATATCAAGTCTTACAAAACTAATTAGCTTATATAAAGAATAACATTGATTTTCTTACTCAATTTATTTTTACTTCATTTTCACTTAAGGATAGCTTGTAAAAACAATTTATATTAATATCATTGCATATTAATTCATACTTGTATTGTATATTTTAGTATATTTTAACAAAGTTAAATCTTATTGAACTATATTGTATTGTATAAATATTTTTTTAAATCCTAGTTCTATAATTTATCATTATTGACTATTATCGATAATGTAAAGGGATATTATAGATTCACGATTTTTAATAATTTATTTATAATTTAATATAATTTAGTAAATTTTAATTATTTATTTATTAATTCAAAATTAAATCAGATAAAAAGTTATGATATTAATAAAATTCAATATAAAACAATACTGTTGGATTTAATTTTTTTTAAATTTAATTTTTGTTATTACCTATAGAGATAGCATATAATTTTAAGTTAAGTTTAAAAGCAAATCAAAGATAAACACCGCCGATTATGCTTTATTACACTTTATTATACTACGTAAAATATATTATAAAATAAATATAAAATGTCCCACGAGGGTTTACTAGTGTTAAGTAATGAGATGATGGATTTTTATATGATGTAAAAACATAGATGTTTCCATAGTCTGTTTTGTTTTGATTCTGAGTATAAGTGAACACAGTTTAAAACTTTTATTTTAGCTATACCTAATGATTATTGAATTTTGTTTAAGACAAAAGTTAAATAGAGAATCTTGTTCGATGATGTTAGGCAAACTACGTAAATGTGATTCGCAAGCGAGCATACCTGCATATGAGCTACATAATATATATGCCCATGACTAAAAATAAACGAAATAACAAAAAATAATATAACAGGAACACTCACCGTCAGCTATTCGATTTTAAAACCATATACATGCAACCCGCTGGCCGCGACATGACGTTCGGTGACAATACGGATGGCTGTTTTTATGCAGCATTGCTGTTATCGCGTGATTTGTTCGGTAAAATGGACGTTTTAAATATCAAAACGAACATGCATATGAATATTATATTATAAATACATTATGTAGAAAAAAAGAAACGAAGTATAAAAGGCAATAGTGATTGATATAGGTACACAAACAGGTATATATTAAAGCGAATATGATAGAGAAAGAAAGAAATAGCCAAAAATAATCAAAAACATATCACTCTCTCTCTATATTTATATAGATCTAATAACTAAATTATAATAACAGTTCGCATTAGTCGACTTTTTAGACCGCTATAAGAAAAATATATTAAAAATATCATATCATGTCTTATGGTCTTCGGCTTATCCGGTAGCCACCAGCTCTCAATATCAATGCCTACGTCCCGTGTTCAATGACGGTGTAGTATTACATTAAAACGAACTGTGTTAACTACAACGATATATATTATTTTTGTATGATGATATAATTTTTTTTTTTTTTAATTACATCGATTACACCGTAATCATTATTATTACTGTTATTATTATTATTATTATTATTATTTTGCGGGACGAAATCGTGTCGCACAAAAACCATAACAATATACGTACATGATATTATCTGTATACTATACTAACCAGACGCGACAACGGCCGTGAATGTATAAATTGTCAACGCGACGTTAATTTATCGTTTCGACCCTGCGACACGATGTCTGGCTCGACGCCGGGGTGGTGGCCGGTGGTGGATCGAGCGCGCAACGTGTCTAGTGTCCGCGTACCGACTGCCGTCGCTCCGGTCCGCTCGCGCCGCACGCACACACTCGTGTGTCTCTGTGTACGTAAGGTTCATCTGCGACGACGGTGGCGGCGACGGCGTTGCCACTCGCGGATTCTGCGCAACCCTCGGCGTATGTATAATAACGTACACATTATTTTTGTATTGAATAAACCGCGATATTTGTGCTGGTATCGAAATGTAGATAGTGTGACATTTTAAATATATAATATGTATTATCGATATGGTTATAAATCGGTGTTGTGTTGAGCGATTCGTTTAACGTAGTGAGACACACTAATAATTATTATTTGCATAAATTTTAAAATGTAATTATTTTCGTATAACTTTAAGTCATCCGTATAGACTTTTTATTCGTGCAATTTATTATTATTAATTGACATATAAAAAATATAGGTATGTTGTTATTAAAAGAAAAAAAATAGAAAACTTAAGAACATTATATTTTAATTTTACGAAAATGTTATTTTTAACGTTTTTAAGTTTGGTAAAACAAATATTTTAAAATAACATTAATGTTTTGTGAAATAGTGAGTATATCTTACGCTAACCCCGTAAATCCATATTATATCGTCAGCTAATCACCACCCATTTTATAATAATAATATATTGAGCGTAGGCACTCTGTAATGTAATAAAGATTGCAGATTATCCTAACCCAAGACATTTTCTTGCGTAATTGTATTAATTAGATATCAAAACATTTTACCTATACAATATATGTTTGTAATTTAAAATAACATTAAGTTCAAATACCTATTATGTAGTATAAACTCGTTTGTAAAAAATTAACTATTCCTAAATAATTATTGAACTCAAGTTAGCTATTTTTCCAATAGGTCGGCGTTTTTTTAATTTCTATATAAATATGATAACTCGAAAAAAAATGAAATAATTTCCATGTAAATCGTTTTCAATTTATTTATTTTTTTATATTACATGAATCTATCCGAATCTAATTTACGATAACGAGACAAAATTATTAATGACTATAAAATATAAGCTCTTACAATATACTATATCATAAGAATAAAATAATACTCGTACACCAACGTGATATAATTGGCGATTACATTCCTAAATAAATATTTTCTGATATGAAATAGCTTCAAAATTGTAAAAATCGCAGATCATCATAATATCCCTTTTTCCTAAGGATTTAATATTAATAAAAAATGTGTTGTTAATAAGTTTATTAAAGCGAATAGAATTACTTTTATGAATTTTATTGAATATATCGTAATAAGCTAATTTTGCTGCAAGTTAATTGTACAAATATAAAATAATAAACCAATTACTTCGTTATAACTATTATTATTTTTATAACAAATAATTAATTTTATTAAATGTGTAATTATTATTATTATATTACACGCTTATTAATTATATATATAAATTCTGTAATAAATATTATGTTACACTCTACAGTATGATAAAGTACAGAGCAAAGATGTTAAAATGGCATTTATCGTTTCCTATTTTATTTGTTTAAATAATGAAGTTCTATTTTTTTTTTTCAAAATGTTTACTTGATCATTTTACTTGTAATAAATATAAATGATAGGTCACTATAGAAATATAATACATTAATGAATAAGAAAATGTGTAACCTATTACCAATAAATATCATGTTCCGAGCATTTATCAGTACCTATATCAAAATGGATTATACTGATAAATAACCATTAAATAAATGTTCAATTACAAATAAAATACTTATATGCCTGTACATATTTCTGAATGAACTGTGTGTATAGGCCATAATATGTACTATACTATGTTATATACTATAAAATAAACTTAATACATAATGTTTTTTTAATTTTTTTTTTTTTTTTTTTTGTACATTTTTATTCGCATAAACTGAGATATAAACTACAAATAACATATTATATAATAAATTATAAGTTTTTAATATACAGGTATCTAAAAATATTAGAAAATGAGATTAAATTCCAAATTATAATGACTATTAACTACTTAAATTATCATGTCTAAATAATTATATACATTTTTAAACTTATAAAATATAATAATAGTAGCTAGTGCGGGTGTAAAATGTTTGAATATTAGAACCAATTATTATAAACGACTAAGCTTGTTCAATACAAAAAAAAGTTTATGAACTTATTGTAAAAATAAATATGTTTTTACAAAAATAATTTCTTAATCTTTTATATATATTTATATGCCAAAGTGGTTTTTAAGACTGAATAATATTTGCATTAATAAAATAATAATCAAACATTGTATAGTTATAAAATTATCTAATTTTGATCTTTCCCCCGTAAAGGAAGAACCCTGACTGGTAACCTATAAACTAATGATTTTAAGTCGATGGACAAATAAAAAATAAGTATATTATGAACTAAATAAAGTAAAACAAATAGTTTTAAAAAAATGAGTAAAGTCATATTTTAAATATTCGTAAAATAATAATAATAATAATGACTTACATTAAATATATAGTAAATTATAAGAATATAAGTAATTTTCTGTGAATGTTTTGCAGAAATAAATTGAGTATATATAATAGGTACTTATATTTTAAACGCGATTCTGTTTAGATATAAAGGATAATAGGAGAATTTTTTTAGAAACAATTTTAAATTTGATTCTTTGTCTGCGGCTTCGCCTCGGGTTACTAACCATGCTATGATAGTAATGATTGTAATGATATAATAATAATACAATGTAAAATAAATATTTAGGTTTTAAGTTATTTTTATTTGTTGTTTTTTGAATGTATTTCGAGGTAGAAGAAATAGAAATTCAAACAGAAAACTGTGTATATAATAAAATAAAAAAAGTATGGTTTATTGTGGGGGTTATATATTATTATAAAAATAAGAATTTGGAAGAGGGATGTCGGTACTTTACGGATTGAGATGCTGGTTATTAGTTATTTTGATAACTGTTGAAATTATCGTGTACTTTAGTCATTAATACCTAAGGTAATATCTCACCAATAACTCATTATGTTCTCTAGCTTGGTGTCATGATAAAAAAAACGTGGTTAGAACAACAGTAAATAATTAAAAAGTTGGCAGATCGTTGATATTTTTGAAATGCACGGAAAAATTCTTTTTCGTATTGTCAACAAACTATGTTGATTTTGTATTTTAGCATGATAATAATATTGTACTTTTTTATCTATATAATTTCATTAATAATATTATATTGTTAAATGAAAAGTATATGCCGATTATCAATTAAAAATATTAATCGTCAACCGATGACAATATTTTATCTTATCATTATAACAATGTTAGCAGTTCTAATATCAGTGCTATTTTAAAAAAATATTATGTGATATCTTATTTATAAATAATTAATATATTATAATGTTAACCATTTAGTGAACTAAAATTATAATCACTGTTGTATGTTAGGTGTTAAATAAGTTATTATTATGGGTGTATAAAATTTTAATTCAATGATTTATCATTAATCATTATAAACGAAAAACGATTCTGAGCGGAAGACATTTTTGGATAATGTGTTACTTAATTATAGTAATATACATTTATACCTAATTAAAAAAATGTATACAACTCGAAATTTAATTTTTTCTCTACGTAAATATTCTATAAAACATAAAACTTAGATTCATAATACAAATAGATACTATCTTAAAATAAATCATCAATTTCATTGTGTATAATAAAATTTACAACAACGATATACCTATATATCATTAAATTTTTAATTTCAACCAAATTATTATAATTTATAATGTCTAACAAAAAATAATTTCCTTTGTATATTTTTTAAATTTTGGTAGTTTCAGTATAAATTACTTAATAGTTATAAATACAAAATTATTAGTATTTTATTTTGCGATTTTGATAAATTTCGTTAAAATTATAGCTTTAATTAGGTACATATAAGAAAAATTATGCATAAATATTTTTAATATTTTTATACAGATTTAAGCATATTTTATAATACGGGATCTTGTATTAAATAATATATTTAATCTACAATTATTTGTATTTTAATTAAAACAAAAATCGTTTAGAAATAAATAGTTATTAAATGGGTGAATGATATTGTAAAACATTTTAAAATCAAATGTTCATAAAAATTAATTTAGTTTTCCAATAGTTTTTTTTTTTTTATAAGTTAAAAAACTAATGAAAAATCTTGTACTTAATTTTCATATCATAGGTATGAACAGAACATTTTTTATGTATTTTTAACTACATAGTATTTTGAATTTTCTAGATTTTTGCAAACTTTGTCAAAATTCTAAAATTAAATGATTATAAAAAAATATTAAAACTATAATTTTCGATATTCTTTAATTGGGGAATTAACTACTTATTAGAAACTGGGTCTTAAATTTGCAGTTATTTTTTTACCCATTTATAATTTTTTTTATTAACATTAAAATAAAAAAAACTAAAAATAATCAAGATTTTGTGGTTATTCGCTTTTTAATTACATAAAAAAACAAAATCTATTTTGACAAAAATCTGCTTAATATTTTGTTTGTTTTTCCTGGCTATAGGAATAATTACTTCCTAAAAAGGCATTAACTAAATAATTTATCTTTATTTATGTATATTCTTAAAATTTGTTAAAATAATGATTGAAATTTAAGAATTAAAATATATGTATTTATTAAAAAATATAATAGTTAACTATGATTTTTAACAAGTTTTTGCTTGTTTTTTTTCTATAAATTTATTTTCATTCAATAAAATATCATCTTAAAACATTGATTACTGAATCCTTCATCTTATATTGTTTATGAATTATATCAGTTTATACAAAATAATTAACTATACGTTGATACA